AAAAGTGTGAACCTATAAAACACCTGACCACAAAGTTAAACTCTGACTGAGGGACTACAGAAGCTAAAAAGAGTTAGCTTTGGATCATCATCTGGAAAAGCAGCAATCTATGATTTTAGCTCCACATCAGCCTCTGCTGCTTTTCTGAATATGTTTTCATTTATCTCACTTCAGCATCATCCCAGCTCGGATGCGGAGTTGGAAGTGGAAGCGCTGGGAATGACGTTAGCATGATCTTAATAACAATCCATCCATGTCTGACTTAAAGAGCGGCTAATGTTGTCTCTTCACAGAGGGAGACGCCGTAGGTACGGCTTTTGTCAGGAGCTCTGTGTCGATATTTACTGGACAACAAAGCAACTTTTTTAATGAGAGCACAAAATAAAAAACATGTCCTTCTCAAAATGTTCTAAGCACAGAAAAAAGCCACCATGCAGTGCTCCAACTTTTCCCGATCTCGTCTGACCTGCTTCACCCACTTTGGCTACGTTCACACTACAGGCCTTGATACTCAATTCCGTTTTTTTTTTTTTTGTGAAATCCGATTTTTTTACGTTGCCGTTCATATTTCCAACTATATGCGACTTGTATGTGATCTCCTGTGTGAACTGCAGTCATACAACGCAAGTGTCCCGCATGCGCAGTAGAGGACGCAATGACGTCACAGGCCAGCGTGCTCTTTTTTTTCCAGAAGTAAACATGGATTGTTGTGCCGGCACGCATCTAGCGGTGTTTTCCAACCATAAAAACAATCTTTTCATTATGGTTAAACATAAATACTGCTCTCCGCATCATCATCTGCAATGGTTGTTGTGTTTTTTGCCGCTTCTGCCTAGCAAGACGCAGAATAGTGACGTTTGTCGGGTATTAATGACGTTCAGGTCCGATGAATCCGACCTGGCCATTCAGACACAGATCGCATTTGAAAAGATCAGGTTCGTATCGGATTCAGGACCACAGAGCCAAGTGGCCTAGGTCGGATTGGAAAAAATCGGATGTGTGTTGTTCAGACAGCCATGAAAAGATCGGATTCAGGTCGCATATGGGCCAAAAAATCGGATCGAACGTAGCCTTTGAAAGCAGCTCTGGATCCTACGGAAACTTAAATAAGCCGACGCCATCGTTATGGGGGTTGAAGATGTCCATAACCAAGCCACAGTTCTAACTATCAGTCTTTCTCCTGTATACGTCACTTTCACTTTCTTCCTCAATCACTGAGCGCCGCTAGCATCCTCTGAATAGCGTTTTGATTAAAAACTTTCATTGATCATCCTTATTAACATTTTAGTTTACAAAAAATACAAGAAAATCTCAATATTGTGTGACTTACACTTTAAAGTAAAGGTACAAAAATCAGTTAAAGAAATGAATCAATGATCATGCCTTCAGTACAGTAGTCATAACAAGAGCCAAGACCAGTTCTACAGGGGCACTGGCCCCCTGTTGGCCCCCCATCTAGAACTGCTCACTTTTGGAGGTCAAGTTAGCTAACAGTAAATATTTTACACTGTTAAATGGTGAAAAAAAATGTATATGGAATAGTTTTTCTTCTGTTCATTTAATTTTTTGTCCTGGAAAAAACTATAATTGGCAGCGATCCTAGGGTTTTTATGTCTACGAATCAAATGTTTTCATTTACTTGAGTAGCCTCTTTGCCAAATATATTGTACAACAAGCAAAGGTCCTCAAATGTGGAATTATAAATCAAAATCTGGGATTTGCAACAAAGCAAGCTAAATAAGACATAATTAAAACAATTCTGCATTCAAAAGAGGGTCTATCATCCACAAGGATGACAGAGACCTCTGTAAGAACTCTGATCTGTGTCACATTCAGTCGTTTCCTGACAACGCAGCCATTGTAGCGCGGATTACAGGAGACTGGCTGTTTGGTAACGAAGGAATCATCTGCAGCTCAGCACTAGAAACCCAAGGAGCTCATAATTGACTTAAGGAGATCCACAACAGATCCTCTGCAATAACAG